CTTTGTTTTCAAAATCTAAAGACAGTGGAGTTAATATTACTTATAATTAAAAATATGTCCATTGACGTTGAGAAATACTATATTCCAAGGTTTGCCGGGGAAGACGAAGAAGAAGACCGTGCGCATGCGTGAGTTACAGGCCATATCGTGGAGTTTTGTCGTGTGTGCCTCTTTGCTGCTTTGGTTTTCCCGGGAAGATAGCTAAAACGCTTGAAATCATTTTCTACCTACCACCCCTTCCGTCTCTTCTAAGTAAGGGTAAGGATCTGCTAGATTCAAAGAGACAAAGTGACTACATTCGAATCCCGTCCTCCTAGCAGAGGCTCTTGATTATAAAACAGCGTAGGGTAGTTTAAGTGCAAAATACAGTACATTAAACCCGTAACTGACAAATCATGATATGTACATGACATGAACCTTATTAAACTAGCTTGTTCCAAGTTCTCAATAGATTGTGGGATGACGCATAAGTGAAAGACAGGCGAAATTTTTGTGTTCGCGCTTTCTCAATTTCGCGGACCCTACTATCTCGGAGCCTGGAACAGACTGTTATTTAACCTTCAGGAATGTATGGTTTCCATTTTTCGTTCACCCATCGTCCAAAGCCATTCCATAGCAACATCGAACAATCGATATTGCATGATAATCGCGACAGATCGGGTAGATAGGAATCATTTGCCAAAGGCAGAATGAACTTGAACAAACCTGCAATTAAATCACATGATTAACTTGTTTATTTAACGACTTGCATAATTGCTTATATCGAGCTCAATGAATACTTTACGTTCACATCACAGACAGTGAATGTTTTACTAACAAACCCTTGTGGCTCTTTGTGTAAAAACCGTGTACGAACTCGTTACCTTTCATTACCGGCTAAACGTTTGTCAAATTAAAGCACAATAATTACTAAATAATATAAGGCTAATACCATTTCTTTTTGTAGATTCCTCAATATGAAAAGTTAAAGACTTCCCACTCTGAAGAGCCGTCATTTTAAATTCGTCACCCGTGTATCCCAGCATGCCTTGCTGTTGTTTGTTACCTTGAATGTCCCCTGAGAGTAGGGAGTCAAATTAAGAAGCTATTGGTTAAGACTATTTCAATTAAGCATTTATAATATTTACGAATGGGAGAAGGAACAACGGGTTTCAAACAATTTGCATAAAAAAATGCAAATATTTCACTCAATTGACAGGCCCAGCATTTATCTGCAACAACAATTACCATTAAGTTAGGTCGAGCCGGGTACTTTTGGGGCCTGACTTACTCACAGGTTGAGCTGTGAAAACCGAACTAATAGCCCCAAAAATGCTGGCGAAGCATTAAACCTGATCGAGTGTAAGGCGCAAGAATGAATACATGTAGTGGGATTTCTACGACAAGAAGAAATTTGGAAACGTCTAAGCTGGTACTGGTCATGGCCTGTGTTAGAAAGGTGTGAGTGTTTCGAAGAGTCAAACAAGTGACGTATCTGGAAGATACCAAAGTAAAGTCTTGTCCCGTTTATATATGGGAAGATTACTGACTCTTTTATTACTTACTACGGTACACCATTACTACCTTTGATATACCAATCCTCCGGCGGATCCCTGTAACCTTCACAAAGCGTGTAGTCCAAGAAAACCTTGGCTGAGTAGTTCCCAGGCTCAAGAGCAAGGAACATGACCTCATATGTTCCATCATCATGGTCTATAACCATTGGCGCAAGGGATGCTGGTCCTTGTCTGATATGTACTCTCCACGAGTCCCCTCCAGTTCTCTTAACAACTCCATCGTTAGTCACGGATTGAATGAAGATACGGCTGAATTCTCCTAAGGGTTAAAAAGACCAAGGAAAACGACAATCACAAACTTGACGTCATTATTATGGGGTTGTATTCTGTCTTAGGAATTTCTCGGTCAAGGAACTACAAGATCAGAAAAGATCAGAATAGCAAAACAGTGTTCAAGTCGTCGTAGGGGATGTCTCTCCAAACCCCACCCCCGGGTTTAAAGCTTTCATGTATATTGAAAGAGTAAAGAGCAATGCAGTTCGGTTGATGTCGAAAAACAGATTTAAAGAAGCCATGACTATTGGTGGGAGGGAAATCATCCTGTCACCTCGTTTTCCCCAATCCCCTTCGTTACACTACCGGTTTTTATCGGCTTATCCCACTCCAGAACAAATATTCCCAAAACAACCTTTGCGAAAGTTTCTGATTATTACTGGGGGAACTCCCATATGAAAGTGATGGGAATGCTCGTCGGAAAATTCAAATTAAACCCCTAAGGGAGACCAATGTGGATGTGGCTCAAGCTTATACTGACCCCTAAGGAAGATTTCTGTGTGGTCAGTAGTGTCAGAGCATTTTTTGTAAATTTCTTTATGCACCGTACTAAGCGATACCTGAATGGTCAAATATGGTGACTTTCCATCCCAAACACCCTAAGTAAGACCAAAATCTGCAGTTTACACCCCAAAACGAGACGAAGAGTATCCCCATTTTTTTTATATGGGAGTCTCCAACAGAAGATTATCTCATCTTCGGAGAACCAGTAGGATATGAAGGTACAAAAAAGTGATACCGTCAAAACAGACACGTGACACTCTCAGGGAAAGGGGCGCGCGGGAGATTGTGGGTGTAACAGCTTTTCAGAATCTCGCATCACAAAGTCACTATATCCAGTATCCCATTGATAATTGCAGTCTATCATAAAACCTCAATTCCGGTCCTCAGATGAGCAAACCCCCGGATTAATCATTCTTAAAACCAATGTTGGAGGGAAATTAAAATGGCTTGGGGTCAGCTGTAAGTGTGCATTTTAAGCCATACAATAAATTAAGTAATTCCTTGCAGCTTTATTAACCTTGTGGTCGTAACTGCCATCTGGATATAAAGCTTCTCTTTTGGTCAGTTCTGTTTTTTAAATTCATATCTCTGTGTTTCCATGCCATTTTACTTCGGCAGCTTGAAACTAATCCTTCCCAGTCCACTCGCGATCTTTGAAGACGGCACCAGTCAGAGAGAAAGCTTTCATCAACACGTGCCTTCTTCAGGAAATTCAAAGAAAAAAAAAAGTGCTGCAATTGTAAAAGTCGCGAACGATAATTGCAGCAGAAACCAGAACAGAAACAAAAAACGCTTTCTGCATTCTTGATGCCATCATTTCTCTTTTTACCTGTAAAAAAGAATTGTAGTTCTGGGACTTACATCTTTATTCATTCATTGCGTTTAAAGTGTAACATTTTAAGCGCCTACTTCTGCAAGCAACAATGAAAAACCTTTGAAAAAAGTTTCTACACTATTCTAATGGACAATGAGTCACATTCTTTGAAACCAACAGAGAACCTCTTTTGATGTAACTTTGTGTCATTAGCCGTTAACGGGTTCACCATTGACTGACAAGCGCCCCTCGTCTCGGCCCAATCCCTTGAAACGGTTTCTCAATGAGGAAAACGGTCATTCGGATTCTAGAAAGGTAAAATGAGCTTGTAATCGTTTCAGCAAGGGTTTGTTTGTAATGATAGAAACTATCTTTAAAGCAAACGAGATTTCAAATCCCAGGGTAGAAAACTTATATTAAAGCAGACACAAGCTTTCGATTCCATCATGGAATCATTAACAAGTGGTGGAGTTGGACATTTTGGCACGTGACTTAGACCGTGAATCACGTGACAAAACGTCCCGGTAGATCGCGGGGAGCTCGTAAGGGACTGGTCAAAAAGTATATGGGGGGCAGTGGGCCGGAGCAGAGAGGGGGTGTGTCATGAGGTTTTGAGCCTTGTGCAAGGGGTGGGTAATGCAATTTTCAGCTACCCTTAGGGGGTGGGTCACCCTATTTTATTACATAGATAGGCACCAACTACTAACGAGACAGTTGACTACACTTGTTATATAAAACACAGCCAGCTGGAATTATTGCTAAAATGCTCACAAACCTGTTGTGCGAGAAAATACAAAGGGTGACAGGCCGCACATCTTTACGGGCGCGGAATCCTTTGTTAACCTTTTTTTTGGCTCTAACGAGCATGTCCTTTAATGATTTTCCTATTTTGTAAGGAAATGATTGGTGGTTCCTTAAAAATTTATTGAAGTTATAGTTGGTTTTGTATAAGTTTCCATTTTTTCATTCAAGCTTCCTTTATAGTAGACACGGGGGGCTGGTATTGTGTCACGAATGGCAATATTTCTTTTTCCTCCTTGTTGTTTTGTTTTAGGAGTTTAGACTCCCTTTTGTGAATTTTATTTCTGATAGTAGGTTTTCTATCAAAGATTGTGGGTAGCCTCCNTTCCTTTTTTGTAAGGAAATGATTGGTGGTTCCTTAAAAATTTATTGAAGTTATAGTTGGTTTTGTATAAGTTTCCATTTTTTCATTCAAGCTTCCTTTATAGTAGACACGGAGGGCTGGTATTGTGTCACGAATGGCAATATTTCTTTTTCCTCCTTGTTGTTTTGTTTTAGGAGTTTAGACTCCCTTTTGTGAATTTTATTTCTGATAGTAGGTTTTCTATCAAAGATTGTGGGTAGCCTCCGTCCACCAAGTATTTTTTTTTAATTTGAATTATTTTCCTCAAAGGTTGTTTCTGAGGAGTTTTTTCGTGGGATTCTCAAGGCTTCGATGTCTGGTTTACTCATGTCCCATAGGAAAAAGATATCGTGTATGTAGCATTTCCAAACTGTTGTTCAAAAGACAGTTTTGCTTAGAGTCGTTGTTTCAATATATGTCATGAAAATATTGTCAAAGGAATCAAAACTGCTGTCTTTGTGCCCATTGCAGTTCCCTGGTTTTGTAGGTAGTGCCTTCCATTGAAGTGGAAGAAATTTTCTTTGAGGATTAATCTAAGCATTTCCGGCAAGTAATGAGTACCCAGGAATGGGTTGTCTTTGTCGAAATTTTCATATGCTTTGTCACAGACAATTTCAATATACCCTCGTTTTGCTGTATATTTGTGTCAAGACTCATTACGTCCATCGAAACAAGAAATGTACGGTTTTTTACATTTGTCTTTTCAGTGAAAGGTATGATTTCTGTGATTTTGATATTGGTTGAAGCAGTGTATCAACAAATTTTGTCAAGCACAGAACAAGGTTTTACTGGATTATTAAGATGAAACCAAACACCCATGTTTTAACTAGGGGGTGGGTCATGCAATTTCCAACCTTTCTTTAGGGGTGGGTCAGTCATTTTTGTGCCGAACGGAGGGGGTAGGCCATGTATTTTTTATCAACCACATTTCCGAATGCTCCGCCCCCCCCCTCCCCCCTGCTATTCTTTTTGACCAGTCCCTAATGGTGTTCTGTTCAATTAGATTTCGATGGTCTCCTTGGCTCTTCTCTTTAATAAACATGTTGTCTTCTCTCGCAAGGATAGCTAATAGATTTTGAGGAATGAATAAAGCAAGTTTGTTGATAAACTCGATCCCCCCATTCCACTCTGATGTGGCGTTTGTGTACTGTGACCTTTTCTTTCGGAAAATATCAGCACTGCGAAATCAGAATGATAATATATATTTCATTTCATTTAATTATTTTGAAACTCCAGAAATCGTCGTGATATCACAAAAGTACAGTGTCAAAGGACTCAAACAATGCCGCTGGTCATCGGCGACTTGGTCCACACATTCGCCTTTATACTTCCTTGAGTACCACGTCGAACTTAAAATAGTGTATTCACTCTGGATATAGTTGTTTAATTCTTATATTTTGTATTAATGTTTAATGAAAGTGCTCTGAATACATACCTTTCTTTTACTGGCAATAATATGAACATTTTAACCAGCAGAAGCAAAATAACAACAACGATTAAATGATCGGTTCATCATTTGTTTTTCCAAAGTTGTCCATTTAACTGGATGTAGAGTCTTCGTTTAGCCTGGCAAGAGATTAAGCCCTCATACAATTCACGAACATTTAGTCACTTAGCATCGCTGAAACAATTTACATAAAGCACATAAAGAAATTCCATTTTAAAGATTGCTACGCAACCTTTTGAAGGTTGAGTCAACAGACGTAAACGTATCGGTCCTTTTTTCA